ATCATCATGACGCATCCTCAGCATGACCAGCAGTCTCACGATAATAAGGACGATGACAAGAAGATGATGAAATAGCACCGTGATGATGCAGATGATGAATAGGATGATGACTGACATCACAATCATCAGACGATCCTCACATCACCAGCCGCATCAAGAAATCATGTCCACGCATCTTCTGCATCACAAATCGGGTCTACGCGACACTTAAACGTAAAAAAGAAACCAGATAAGACGAGACGAAGAAGTGATGATGAGCACCGTGATGATGCTGATGATGAGATGAGGATGATGAACTGACATGACAATCATCATGACGCATCCTCAGCATCACCAGCAGTCGTCATGATAATCATGTCCACGCATCTTCTTCATCTCAAATCGGGTCTAACGGGACACTTGAAACGTAAAAAAGCAAGATAAGGACGATGAAGGAAGAAGATGATGATGATGAGCACCGTGACGATGCTGATGATGATGATGAGGATGATGAACTGACATGACAATCATCATGACGCATCCTCAGCATCACCAGCAGTCATCATGATAATCATGTCCACGCATCTTCTGCATCTCAAATCGGGTCTAACGGGACACTTGAAACGTAATAAAAAGAGATAAGGACGATGACGAAGAAGATGATGATGATGAGCACCGTGATGAGGATGATGATTATGATGATGTAACTGACATGATAATCATCATGACGCATCCTCAGCATCACCAAACGCTCTAACGGGACTGAAATGATGATGATCATGATGAGCACTGTGCTGATGATGATGATGGAGATAACTGACATGATAATCATCATGAACGCATCCTCAGCATCACCAGCAGTCATCATGATAATCATGTCCACGCATCTTCTGCATCTCAAATCGGGTCTAACGGCACACTTGAAGCGTAATAATCATCAGACGCATCCTCAGCATCACCAGCAGTCATCATGATAATCATGTCCACGCATCTTCTGCATCTCAAATCGGGTCTAACGGGACACTTGAAACGTATATAAAAAAAGATAAGGACGATGACGAAGAAGATGATGATGATGAGCACCGTGATGATGATGATGATTGATGATGAACTGACATGATAATCATCATGACGCATCCTCAGCATCACCAGCAGTCATCATGATAATCATGTCCACGCATCTGCTGCATCTCGAATCGGGTCTAACGGGACACTTGAAACGTATATAAAAAGATAAAAGGACGATGACGAAGAAGATGATGATGATGAGCACCGTGATGATGCTGGTGATGATGATGATGATGATGATGAACTGACATGATAATCATCATGACGCATCCTCAGCATCACCAGCAGTCATCATGATAATGATGTCCGCGCGTCTGCTGCATCGCAAATCGGGTCTAACGGGACACTTGAAACGTGTATAAAAAGATAAAACGAAACAAAGACGATGACGAAGAAGATGATGATGATGAGCACCGTGATGAGGATGATGATTAAGATGATGAAGTGACATGACAATCATCATAACGCATCCTCAGCATCACCAAACGGCTCTAACGGGACTGATGATGATGATCATGATGAGCACCGTGATGATGATGATGATGATGACGATGAACTGACATGATAATCATCATGACGCATCCTCAGCATCACCAGCAGTCATCATGATAATCATGTCCACGCATCTTCTGCATCTCAAATCGGGTCTAACGGCACACTTGAAACGTATAATCATCAGGACGCAGCCTCAGCATCACCAGCAGTCATCATGATAAGCATGTCCACGCATCTTCTGGCATCTCAAATCGGGTCTAACGGACACTTGAAACGTATAAAAAACAAGATAAGGACGATGACGAAGAAGATGATGATGATGAGCGCCGTGATGATGATGATGATGATGATGATGAACTGACACGATCATCATCATGACGCATCCTTAGCATCACCAATCGGCTCTAACGGGACTGATGATGATGATCATGATGAGCACCGTGATGATGATGATGATGATGATGATGAACTGACATGATAATCATCATGACGCATCCTCAGCATCACCAGCAGCCATCATGATAATCATGTCCACGCATCTGCTGCATCTCAAACCGGGTCTAACGGGACGCTTGAAACGTATATAAAAAAAGATAAGGACGATGACGAAGAAGAAGATGATGATGATGAGCACCGTGATGATGCTGATGATGATGCTGATGATGATGAACTGACATGATAATCATCATGACGCATCCTCAGCACCACCAGCAGTCATCATGATAATCATGTCCACGCATCTACTGCATCTCAAATCGGATCTAACGGGACACTTGAAACGTACATAAAAAAGAGATAAGGACGATGACGAAGAAGATGATGATGATGAGCACCGTGATGATGCTGATGATGATGATGAACTAACATGATAATCATCATGACGCATCCTCAGCATGACCAGCAGTCATCACGATAATAAGGACGATGACGAAGAAGATGATGATGAGCACCGTGATGATGCTGATGATGATGATGAGGATGATGAACTGACATGACAATCATCATGACGCATCCTCAGCATCACCAGCAGTCATCATGAGAATCATGTCCACGCATCTTCTGCATCTCAAATCGGGTCTAACGCGACACTTGAAACGTAAAAAAAAAACAAGATAAGGACGATGACGAAGAAGATGATGATGAGCACCGTGATGATGCTGATGATGATGAGGATGATGAACTGACATGACAATCATCATGACGCATCCTCAGCATCACCAGCAGTCGTCATGATAATCATGTCCACGCATCTTCTTCATCTCAAATCGGGTCTAACGGGACACTTGAAACGTAAAAAACAAGATAAGGACGATGACGAAGAAGATGATGATGATGAGCGCCGTGACGATGCTGATGATGATGATGATGAGGATGATGAACTGACATGATAATCATCATGACGCATCCTCAGCATCACCAGCAGTCATCATGATACTCATGTCCACGCATCGTCTGCATCTCAAATCGGGTCTAACGGGACACTTGAAACGTATACAAAAAGGGATAAGGACGACGACGAAGAAGATGATGATGATGAGCGCCGTGATGAGGATGATGATTAAGATGATGAACTGACATGACAAGCATCATAACGCATCCTCAGCATCACCAAACGGCTCTAACGGGACTGATGATGATGATCATGATGAGCACTGTGCTGATGATGATGATGATGAGGATGAACTGACATGATAATCATCATGACGCATCCTCAGCATCACCAGCAGTCATCATGATAATCATGTCCACGCATCTTCTGCATCTCAAATCGGGTCTAACGGCACACTTGAAGCGTATAATCATCAGGACGCAGCCTCAGCATCACCAGCAGTCATCATGATAATCATGTCCACGCATCTTCTGCATCTCAAATCGGGTCTAACGGGACACTTGAAACGTATAAAAAACAAGATAAGGACGATGACGAAGAAGATGATGATGATTTGCACCGTGATGATGATGATGATGATGAACTGACATGATAATCATCATGACGCATCCTCAGCATCACCAGCAGTCATCATGATAATCATGTCCACGCGTCTTCTGCATCTCAATTCGGGCCTAACGGGACACTTGAAAGGTATATAAAAAAAGATAAGGACGACGACGAAGAAGATGATGATGATGAGCACCGTGATGAGGATGATGATTAAGATGAGTAACTGACATGATAATCATCATGACGCATCCTCAGCATCACCAGCAGTCATCATGATAATCATGTCCACGCATCTGCTGCATCTCGAATCGGGTCTAACGGGACACTTGAAACGTATATAAAAAGATAAAAGGACGATGACGAAGAAGATGATGATGATGAGCACCGTGATGATGCTGGTGATGATGATGATGATGATGATGATGAACTGACATGATAATCATCATGACGCATCCTCAGCATCACCAGCAGTCATCATGATAATGATGTCCGCGCGTCTGCTGCATCGCAAATCGGGTCTAACGGGACACTTGAAACGTGTATAAAAAGATAAAACGAAACAAAGACGATGACGAAGAAGATGATGATGATGAGCACCGTGATGAGGATGATGATTAAGATGATGAAGTGACATGACAATCATCATAACGCATCCTCAGCATCACCAAACGGCTCTAACGGGACTGATGATGATGATCATGATGAGCACCGTGATGATGATGATGATGACGATGAACTGACATGATAATCATCATGACGCATCCTCAGCATCACCAGCAGTCATCATGATAATCATGTCCACGCATCTTCTGCATCTCAAATCGGGTCTAACGGCACACTTGAAACGTATAATCATCAGGACGCAGCCTCAGCATCACCAGCAGTCATCATGATAATCATGTCCACGCATCTGCTGCATCTCGAATCGGGTCTAACGGGACGCTTGAATCGTATATAAAAAGAGATAAGGACGATGACGAAGAAGATGATGATGATGAGCACCGTGATGATGCTGATGATGATGATGATGATGAACTGACATGATAATCATCACGACGCATCCTCAGCATCACCAGCAGTCATCATGACAATCATGTCCACGCATCTGCTGCATCTCAAATCGGGTCTAACGGGACACTTGAAACGTGTATAAAAAGAAATAAAGACGTTGACGAAGAAGATGATGATGAGCACCGTGATGATGCTGATGATGATGATGATGATGATGATGAACTGACATGATAATTGAAGGCGCCTGTGCTTGTGCCAGTGCCGTTTTTTTTGCAGAAAGACACCACACCAGCGGCGACGACCACCACGCCGATGATGACGGTTATGCTTATTTACCAGCCAGCCTTGGACTTGTAACCGCCCTTCCCGTACGCCTCCCCCTTTGAGGAGAAGGGGTCGGCGGATTTTTGGAGCTCCGGACTTGTGAACATTTGAGATTTGCCAATTCCAGAACAAGTTTTTAAGCGTTGCTCTTTTTTCCAGGATCTGTCACCTGGCCTCAAGCATGGCAGAGAAGCGGACTGACCGTGCTGGCTTCATTGGAGGTCCCGGTGCCTGCCAGACGGACACCATGATTGGGGCTCGACAGACTACGGTGAAGACGAGCTTCTTGATCAATGAATGTATGTCTCAGAACATCTCCTTTGAGCCTTTGAACTCGCGGGGCAGGACTGCAATGACCAAACCTTCCATACTCTGTTGATTCATGCTTTCGGAACATGTCCAGATTTGTGGACCCCAGTGTCGTGTGGGCCTTTGAAGCTGTTCTGACGATCCAACTGGCTCGTATGTTCAGGTCCAGCACGACTGCGGATAATGCGCTTGACTGCCAGAAGCAGTGCCGCGACACGAGCTGGTGTTCCAGCTTCGTCTTCAACACCCTTCTAAAATCCTGTGATCTGCAGGAGACGTGTTCGTTGTGTGCGTTTTGTTTTGACATGTTTGACCAGTGCCTTGCATCAACTTTTGTTCCACCTCTCATCCAGGACGTGCTAGCAAAGCCCGTTCACACGGGCATCCTCTATCAGATGTCCGGGCCGCCTAGCTGCAAAGCGACGGTCAAGTTCGAGGTCGACGTAAACCACGATGGGGCGCTGGAGGTTTCCACACAGAACTTGACTTCGGTTGTGAAGGCAGCTTTGGTAGTCGTGGCAGGAAGATATCCCTTGTACTTTGGCGGCAACAATCAAAATGGCAGGGACGTAGAGAGAACACTTCCTGTCGTGCATCCGGACGAGCTCTTCGCTGTTCCGGACAAGGTATCCAGTACACATCTCCACTACAATGTCATGGTCGACATCCCTTCATCCCGAGCACTCTACTTCTACAACTTGCTTACGCATGACCAGACTGGCGATGAGTTTCACAAGGCCATGAACAATTTCACGGGCAACATTTGGGGCGGGTTCAAGTTCCCGGGGAAAGTCCCGGTTGTGAGCGTGAGCAATGCCAAGCTCGACGTCAAAGGGGACAGGTGGCACCAGCGGATCGCACGCCCGAACCTGGATGAAATCCAACTAAGCGCTGTGGCAGCGGATGTGGAGGGGAGTTCCATGGGCCAGGGCTGGAAACTGTTGGGGGCCCTCTCGCTGGTCTTGGTCGTGTATTCAGCGTCAAGGTCGGGGCGAAACATGAGGGGAGGGTGCTTGGATTTGTTTGGAATGCTCATGCAGAAACAGAATCCCTGTTGGCTTGTGCCTTCTATGCACCTGACAGGCATAGATCAGTGAGGCCAGATGCGGAGTGGGGGAATGCAGGTGATTTGGAGTCGTTTCTCGACGCGGATGAGGTTGAGAGCAGCCAGCAAAGCTGATCTGCTCCTTTCGTAGGGCTTCATGGCAAATCGTCAGAAGCATTGTCTTTCCGCTGCGAGCTACTACAGTAGTTCATTTTGACATTTCTTTTGCCCTTGAATGCGCTGCAGCCCTGGTCACATAAAGGATGCTGAATCTTGCAACACTACAGTGGCACAGCATGTTTGAGGTTGTTTAGAGTGAAGCATTCCTAAGAGTGTAGAGATTGTTGAATTTCTGTATGCAATTCTTGAAAGGTACCTGTGCATTGTCACCAGGGCAGAAGCCACATTGCCTGTGTGTCATGATCAGGCACAACCTGCATGAGCAAGGCAATTTCCAAACAATGGCCACGCATGCGAGGAAAATGCTATCGCCTTTCTGCCTGCTTGTACAAGTTCATCCTCAGGCCTCAGTAGTATCCGTCTCGGCGTTCCGTTCAGCCAAAGGCTCGATGCTTTGACATTTGCAATGGACGATGAAACACACGTTACAGATCTGAACATCTTGGGATTGGCCGAACGGACGCCGATTTCAGGCCTGACGCACTTCTTCCTTCGGCTTCGCGGAAGCCGATGCGCCATGGAATGATGCGCCTGACCGTGGCCCTGGCCCTGCTGCGCGCGGAGGCCGGCTATGGCGCTTCCCAGGCCCTGCGCGGGCTCGGGTCGACGCTGGGGTCCAGCCCGCCCAAAGTGGCGGAGGCAATGGACCTGGCCAGGCACAAGGCGGAGGCGCGGGCGGTTGGTGACGGGCAAGCACGGCTCTTTGATGTTCAACCCAAAGCAAACGGAGAGAGATAAACGGTGAGCAAGTAGAGAGAGAGGGAGAGAGAGATATAGAGAGATCGCGAGATAGACACGTCTTCACCTGCAAAGGCTCTGGCCAGCCAGATGGAGCACAACTGCGTGGGCGATTTGCCCAACTCTGCCGGCTGGTCTGTTGAAACTGGGCAGTGACTTTCTAGCCATGGGCCACAGGCGGCATGCCATCATCTCTTGTTTACTCCTGACGGCCAAGGACAAACGCAGCTGGTGCTGTGCTGTGATGGGCTTGGGCTGCGATTCAACATCGGTGCTATACCGCCTGCCGCTGTGATGCATGGACATGACAGGCACACCAGCACTGACAGGCACACAGGCCTGACAGGCACACAGGCCTGACGCAGGATGAGAAGTGGCAGGCAGATTGTTGATTGTGAGGGAAGGCTTCAGATTGTCTATGTGGGGGTTTGCGATTGTGTCATAAGGCCTGCAGCTACAGCTGCGGTGGGGCAGCCATGGCATCAGACCGCGCTGGCCCTTGGGGCTTCCGGGCACTTTGAGGTGAAGGCTTCTGCAGATGGGCAGCCCTTGCCCGAGTGGCTCAGCTTCAGGCGCCGGAAAAGGTGACTGGAACTGACCTTTACGGGGTCGAGTCAACGAAACCCAAGTGGGAGGTAGGGCCAGCTCGCACTGCCCCATTGGGCAGTTCTGTCTGCGATGCGATGCTGCGATGCGGTTGAGGTTATGACTCACGACTCACGACTCACGACTTGCCAGGCACGGAAGCTTCGAGGGCACCGCGCCGGCGCCTCAGCAGCTGCTGCTGCGGCTGGAGATCCGGGGCTTCGGGGCCGCGCTGCTGCCGTTCACCGCGGCCAAAGGCGCGGGCTCGGGAGCCAGACACGGTGCTTGGGTGCTTTCCATGAGGGGGGGACGGGAGGGGAGGAGGGGAAATCAGGAGGTAAGATGGTGGGAGGGGCAGAGGCGGGAAGGGGCGAACATCCGAACAAAAATAGGAAAATAGCCATTGTTACTTGATTGAACCCTGAGCATTGCTCAGACACCTGGTCCTATGCCAGGCGCCAAGGTGGCGGAAGCGCCCACGCCGCCCCCAGCAGCGCCGATAGTTGTCCAGCAGCTTCCGGAGGCAATGGCAATGGCAGGCCAGTGCTTGGGTGGGATACTTGAAGATTTTGAAGATATTGAGGATGTTTGCATGTCTTGGCTGCGCAGGCCGCAGATTTCACATGGACGTCCCAGCGACCACCATCATTGATCCTGATGGGCAGAACGTGACTTTGAGCGCCAGGCTCCCTGGAGGTGAGTTGCCAACGTGGCTCAGCTTTGATCCAGCCAAAGGGTTTTCAGGCGTATCTCCGACACAGCAGGACCTGCAGATATCTGTGGTTGGAACCAATGCCCATGGGCAAGCGAGCACAGATTTTCAGCTTCACGTCGGCTCAGGAAATGTGGCGGCCCCAGCGCCCAAATCGGTTGCTTCACCTTCCGTGATTCTGCGACTAGATGATGTGATGGCGCCAGTCGGGACACGGTTTCAACATACCCTTCCGCAAATAGAATTGGTGCATGAGGATGGCACTTCGGATGGATTTCGCTACACTGCTTCGTTGGAAGGAGGAGGGGGCTTGCCTGATTGGCTCAGCTTTCATGCGGACCGCATGTCAATCACCGGGATTCCACCAAGCAAGGGTGAATCTTGGATTGTCGTCAAGGGTACGAATGGAGACCGGGCAGCTGGAGTGATGTTGCGCCTGACCGCCGTTGATGCTCCACAAAACGGTGACGTTCCAAGCGTGCTTGCCGAAGTTGGAAAGCCGCTCCACCATGCGCTTCCAAGCAATGCGATAGTGGACCCTACTGGTGGAGACTTGTCTTTCAGCGCCTCCTTAGCAGACGGAGAGGATTTGCCACAGTGGCTCCACTTTGATCCGAAGCAAAAGACATTCTCAGGTACTCCACCCAAAGCAGAGCAGTTAAAGATCTCGGTTTCGGGCAAAGATGCGCAGGGGCTGTCAGCTTCAACTGAGTTTTCTCTGAACGCGGACCAGTCACCTCTGATTGCCAATCCCTTGCCGAATGTGGATGCTGAAGTCGGCGAGTTGCTCCATCATGTACTCCCCAGCAATGCGATAGTGGACCCTGATGGTGACGATTTGTCGTTCAGTGCCTCGTTAGCGGACGGAGAGGATTTGCCGCCGTGGCTTCATTTTGATCCGAAGCAAATGAGATTCTCGGGATTTCCACCGAAGCAAGAGGAGTTGCAGATCTCGGTTTCGGGCAAAGATCCGCAAGGGCTGTCAGCTGAAACAGGCTTCTCACTGGTCGTCAAGCCACCTGTCGGACCGGCAGTCCTCAAACAGCTGCCCGACGTGACGGCCCAGTTTGGGAAGCCACTGCACGATACGATTCCAAGCGACGCGATCGTAGACCCCAACGGCGGAGATTTGTCTTTCAGTGCCTCTTTGGCAGACGGAGAGGCCTTGCCACCCTGGCTTCACTTCGATCCGGAGCAAAAGACATTCTCAGGAACGCCGCCCGAAGAAGAACAGTTACAGATCTCGGTGTCGGCCAAAGACAAGGAAGGGTTATCAGCTTCAACTGGGTTTTCGCTGGGAGTGGGCAGGTCACCTATTGCCAAGCCCTTGTCGGATGTGCAGGCCGAAGTTGGAAAGCCGCTCCATCACGCGGTTCCGAGCAATACGATTGTGGACCCTGATGGCGGAGATCTATCTTTCACAGCCTCTTTGGAAGACGGAGAGGTTTTGCCGCAGTGGCTTCACTTCGATCCGGAGCAAAATATATTCTCAGGCATTCCGCCCAAAGAAGAGCAGTTGCAGATCTCGGTCTCGGGCACAGATCCGCAAGGGCTGTCAGCTGCAACAGGCTTCTCTTTGACGGCGGGCAAGTTGCCTGTAGTGACTGGACGCTTGCCAGCTATAAATGGCAAGATTGGCAAGAAGCTGCATCACAATATCCCCATTGCTATTGTTGACCCAGATGGTGGAGACTTGGCTTATAGCGCCTCCCTGGATGGTGGAGAAGCATTGCCAGACTGGCTCCAGTTCGACCCCGAGCAAATGACATTCTCAGGCACTCCTAGTGGCGAAGGAGACTGGACCGTTGCTTTGAAAGGAGTTTCGGCGCAAGGTTTTTCTTCCTCGGCTTTGATGGATGTGCATGTTGGCGGGGGCCCAACGGATCAGATGGCCACGCAGTTGCAGGGCTCTCGGCAGGGTGCTTAGACTATTAGAGGCGAGGGAACAACGAAGCAACGGGAAGTTGCCAGACAGGAAGCTCCCAAAAAATCGCTTTGGGATGTGAAGCTGAGCTTAGGCCGGTGTCTCCGCCGGAGCTTGGGCCGCAGCACCACTGCAGCGAAGCTGACGTGGTCTACGAGCCGCTGGACATGGACATGTCCCCCAGCCAGGCGGACTGCGGAAGGGTTTTCGACATCGGACCTCATTTCGAGCCAAAGGTTTGCAACGAATGCTTCACAAGTTCTGTTGTTTTGCGCGCGCGAAGCCACTCGGATGCTCAGCAAGAAAGGGGCACTTCCAGTTTTGACCAGCGACACCCTGAAGGCCTTGCAGGCTGAATCTACTGAGGAGGAGCTGGTGCAGTCACGCCTGCCAGCGACATCTGTTTCATGCTTAGTTAGCACTAGGCAGCAGATTCTCAAAGTAAACCGCCCAGAGCACGTGCTTTGTTTATTTGCATGTTGCTGGAGGAATTTGCAAGCGCAGGAGTGCCAAGATTTGTGCCGACAAAAGCAAGATTGCGGCTACTTCTCCTTCTACCAGCCCTTGAAGTTGCATGTCGGCACCGTTAGGCGGTCGGCTTTTGCCAATTTATGTAGCGGCAAAGCACGAGGCCGTCGATGTGAATTGCAAGCGAGGCTTTGCCACCTGTCGACACCAATGGCGCAGAAGCGGACTGGCGCCGCTGGCTTCATCGCCGGCAGCGCATTTTGCGAAACAGGCTGAGCATGAAGCTTGTGTTTGTATGGCCAGGCAAGAACATGTTTGAAACAATTGCCCAACTTCGACCGCACAGTTCGGCTGATCTTTGCTTACACCGCGAGTTGAGTTTGTGGTCTGGTCTCTGGTGAGTCTTTCAGCTTGCTAAGCCTTAAGCGGCATGCAGAAGAAACCCAAAGAGGCGTTGCCCGAGGCGCCGAAGGTCAGCCGTGTTCGTCTCCAGAGTGCTTCGGCGGTGGAAGAGGCTGGCAGACATCTCGCAGGGCATAGCAACTTGGGTTTGTCCTTTTGAGTCCCCAAATCAAGTGGTTTCCTTTTGGTTTCCCATTAGTTTCCCTTTCACAAGCTCAAACATGCTACCCTGAAAGAAGGACACAGTGTAGATGTTATGGGCACAGTGAAGTTCCCGGAGCAGGAGGTGCTCTTCACATAGTCTCCATGTAGCAGTCTGAACATGCTCGAAGAGTCAGGTGCTCGAGGCGTCAAAAGCCAGTCGGATGTTCTTCAATACACCAGAGGAAAGCGACACACAGCAAATTTAAGGGACATCATGCCCAAAGCTTCCCGAAACGCTTTCCAGAAATGTATGGATATGTGTTGTCCACTGTGCACTTTGGCTGGTGCTGCTGCCGCTGCTGCTGCTCGACAATCTTCGCGATGGCTTTGCGTAGGTGCGTAGGCTTCGAGGGCATTTTTAGCCCTCAGGCCTCTTCTTTTGTCAGATCCTGGCGCCACACGTGGGTTCCATAAGAACCCAGCCCTTTGCAGTTTGAAGTTCGAGCTTGAGCTGCCAAAACAGTTTTTTCCCGTTGGCCGTTGGGCGCAACCCATTCCCCTCAGCCACCTTCAGAGGTTGAGTGACGACTGATATGTAGCTCGTGGATCACATATCTTTGCATGCTACTCATGCAAATATAATTGCTCCCCATGACATAGTTTGCCCTTGGTTTTGCACACAAAGCCCTAGCCTTCCATCAAGCCCCAGTCGGGCCCTTATTTTGCAGGTCGAGCTCTCCAGTAGTGGGGTCGCCCCAATGTTCCAGGTCAATTACCCAGTGAAGGCCCACGCAAGGCCCCAATATCACTTGTCTCCCCACTTGTCCCTTCGCCCTTTGCTCCTCCCTGGTCTACCCCTTTGTCTCCCCACTTGTCTCCCCACTTGTCTCCCCACTTGTCTCCATGTTTCTCCTTGCTTGTGCTTGGTGACTCGGCCCTTGTCACGGTTTGTCTTTTCCCTTGTCTCAATTGTCTCCCTGCTTGTCTCCCTACTTGTCTCCCTGCTTGTCTCCCGGCTTGTCTCATTTGGAGCAAAACGTCCGAAGATATGTTGACCAGAGCCACGGGAAAACCTTTGATCCTCCAGAAGCAGCACACTTGAACGCATTTGCGCGGTCAGGCGTCCGCGTAGGCACCTGCATGATTCGCTCCCCGTTGGCCTTTGAGCGGCATCGGCTTGCGGAGGCTTCCGCAAGCAGTGCATAGGCCATGTTGACTTGGCCGATTTGTTTACAACGAGGCTTGCGCCAACATCAAATGAGGAGACAAAATGACAGCAAGTCTACTGATTCATTTTGGGACAGCATTGGGGATTCTTTAAATTCCCTATCCTAATTATGCTGGGAGTATGCAATATTATTGCCCGCTGCTCAACAGAATGAGAGGAGCACCTACGCTTGTTGCTGAACCTGATCGTGAAGCTGGATTTGCTAGTACCTAAAGATCCGGATCAGGGTTGTTTATCGCAAACACTAGTCGTCTTCTGCGCTTATGACGCTCTTCTCGTCCTGCTCTGTGAATTTCTTTTGACGATTGGGCCGAGAGACCCAAGTTCCTTGAGTTTATTGAGTTGGCTTCATATCAATCACAAATGTCGCAGGCCGAGATGCTACCGTGCAAGCAAGCCTGCTCAACGAGAAGTGCGTGGCGAAGAATGTCTCATTTTCCCCTTTGAGCAGCAGGGACAGGCCTGCCACCTATGTCAAACACGTGCCTTGGTTGCGACCAGTTTGCTTCTGGGCTTAGTGCCAACTGTTTCAGGTATTGTATTTTGCATGTTGCACGAGTTACGCGGGGCCTAGGAGCTCCAGTGCCAAGAAGAATGCCAAGCAACGTCTTGGTGCACGAGCTTTGTCTACAACACCCTCACCAAAAGCTGCAACCTGCAGGACTGGAATGTCGCGGTGGTTCCGGCCCTGGCCTACGACATATCCGGGCCACGCTTTTGCAGTGCTGCCTTAGAGGTCAAGACCACCATTCATTCAGAGCAGCCCATGGATGAGTGGAAACAGCAAGTGGAGGCGGTGCTGAAGGGGGGCCTTGCTCAAACTGCCTCGAAGCCGGCGCATGCAGCCGGGGAACCAGCGCTGACGCCAACCAACATCGCTGTTTCAGGGTGGAAAGGAGACGGCACAGCATTGTCCTCGACAGCGACCATTTCTTCTTCTTCCAAGCAAACCATGTATCTTTATGACTTGATGACCTCAGAGGATACAAGTCAGACATTTCAGCAAGCCTTAAATGACTTTGTGCGAAGCCCCCACTCCGAGTTGCACATCAAACCGACTCATGTCACTGTTGATTCAGTCAGCCTCGACTTGTCAGGTGACAGCTTTCCAGCGAAGCAATATGAAAAGCTGGCAAAGCAGTCCGGACCACAGCCTTCTGCAGAACAGCCTTTTGCAGTGCAGTTGGTGACGCCTTCCACTGATGGTTCCCATGGAGCAGGCTCGGTGTCAGGAAGTGGTGAGGGTGCAAGCAGTCAGACGCAGCCGGGCAGTTCCGGAGCACAGCCTTCCTCTGATGGCTCCCATGGAGCAGGCTCGGTGCCAGCTGGTGGTGAGGCCGCAAGCATTCAGATCCCGCCGGGCAGTTCTGGAGCACAGACCTCACCGGACAGTTCTGGAGCACAGTCTTCCACTCCAGGCGGTGGTGAGGGTGCAAGCATTCAGACCCCGCCGGGCAGTTCTGGAGCGCAGTCTTCCACTGATGGTTCCCATGGAGCCGGCTCGGTGCCAGCTGGTGGTGAGGCCGCAAGCATTCAGACCCCGCAGGGGAATTCTGGAGCACAGACCTCACCAGGCAGTTCTGGAGCACAGCTTTTCACTGATGCTTCCCAAGGAACGGCCTCAGTGCCGGTCGGTGAGGGCACGAGCATTCAAACCCCATCGGGCAATTCTGGAGCACAGCCTTCCACTGATGGTTCGCATGGAACGGGCTCGGTGCCAGCCAGTGGTGAGGGTGCAAGCATTCAGACGCAGCCGGGCAGTTCTGGAGCACAGCCTTCCACTGATGGTTCCAATGGAGCCGGCTCGGTGCCAGCTGGTGGTGAGGGCGCAAGCAGTCAGACCTCGCCGGGCAATTCTGGAGCACAGCCTTCCACTGATGGTTCCAATGGAGCCGGCTCGGTGCCAGCTGGTGGTGAGGGCGCAAGCAGTCAGACCCCGCCGGGGAATTCTGGAGCACAGCCTTCGACTGATGGTTCCCATGGAGCAGGCTCGGTCAGTTCTGGAGCACAGACCTCACCGGGCAGTTCTGGAGCACAGACCTCACCGGACAGTTCTGGAGCACAGCTTTTGACTGATGCTTCCCAAGGAACGGCCTCGGTGCCGGTCGGTGAGGGCACGAGCATTCAAACCCCGTCGGGCAATTCTGGAGCACAGTCTTTCACTGATGGTTCGCATGGAACGGGCTTGGTGCAAGCCGGTGGTGAGGGCGCAAGCATTCAGACGCAGCCGGGAAGTTCTGGAGCACAGCCTTTTGCAAAGCCTTCCACTGATGGTTCCCTGGGGCTGGCTCCCATTGCCATGCCGATGGCCCCTGTTCCGGCTACAGAGAAGACACCCTTTGAGTATGATGTGCCACTAGCTGTGTTTTCCGATCCTGACGGAGGCCCTCTCACCTTGAGTGCGTTCTTGGCAGACGGGAAGCCTCTGCCCAGTTGGCTCAGATTTGATCCAAAGAAGCGGTCCTTTTCCGGCACACCACCAAATCAAGACCAGCTGCAAATTATGTTGAAGGCTACAGACCCGCAGGGCTTGTCAGCGGTGACCAGCTTCACTCTGCAAGTTTCTCCTGGTTTAGTTCCAGCAGAGGGAACCTCAATTTATTCACCTGATGGTATTCATGAAGCAGGCTCGGTGCCAGGCAGTGGTGACGGCACAAGCATTCAGAATCCGCTGGGCAATTCTGGAGCACAGCCTTCTACTGATGGTTCCAATGGAGCAGGCTCGGTGCCAGCTGGTGGTGAGGGCGCAAGCAGTCAGACCTCGCCGGACAATTCTGGAGCACAGCCTTCCACTGATGGTTCCCATGGAGCCGGCTCGGTGCCAGCTGGTGGTGAGGGCGCAAGCAGTCAGACCCCGCCGGGACAGCCTTCCACTGATGGTTCCAATGGAGCCGGCTCGGTGCCAGCTGGTGGTGAGGGCGCAAGCAGTCAGACCTTGCCGGGCAATTCTGGAGCACAGCCTTCCACTGATGGTTCCAATGGAGCCGGCTCGGTGCCAGCTGGTGGTGAGGGCGCAAGCAGTCAGACCTCGCCGGGCAATTCTGGAGCACAGCCTTCCACTGATGGTTCCAATGGAGCCGGCTCGGTGCCAGCTGGTGGTGAGGGCGCCAGCAGTCAGACCTCGCCGGACAATTCTGGAGCACAGCCTTCCACTGATGGTTCCAATGGAGCCGGCTCGGTGCCAGCTGGTGGCGAGGGCGCAAGCAGTCAGACCCCGCCGGGCAATTCTGGAGCACAGCCTTCGACTGATGGTTCCCACGGAGCAGGCTTGGTCAGTTCGGGAGCACAGACCTCACCGGGCAGTTCTGGAGCACAGACCTCACCGGACAGTTCTGGAGCACAGCTTTTCACTGATGCTTCCCAAGGAACGGCCTCGGTGCCGGTCGGTGAGGGCACGAGCATTCCAACCCCGTCGGGCAATTCTGGAGCACAGTCTTTCACTGATGGTTCGCATGGAACGGGCTCGGTGCCAGCCAGCGGTGAGGGTGCAAGCATTCAGACGCAGCCGGGAAGTTCTGGAGCACAGCCTTTTGCAGCGCGGTTGGTGAAACCTTCCACTGATGGTTCCCTGGGGCTGGCTCCCATTGCCATGCCGATGGCCCCTGTTCCGGCTACAGAGAAGACACCCTTTGAGTATGATGTGCCACTAGCTGTGTTTTCCGATCCTGACGGAGGCCCTCTCACCTTGAGTGCGTTCTTGGCAGACGGGAAGCCTCTGCCCAGTTGGCTCAGATTTGATCCAAAGAAGCGGTCCTTTTCCGGCACACCACCAAATCAAGACCAGCTGCAAATTATGTTGAAGGCTACAGACCCGCAGGGCTTGTCAGCGGTGACCAGCTTCACTCTGCAAGTTTCTCCTGGATTAGTTCCAGCAGAGGGAACCTCAATGTATTCACCTGATGGTATTCATGACGCAGGCTCGGTGCCAGGCAGTGGTGACGGCACAAGCATTCAGAATCCGCTGGGCAATTCTGGAGCACAGCCTTCTACTGATGGTTCCAATGGAGCAGGCTCGGTGCCAGCTGGTGGTGAGGGCGCAAGCAGTCAGACCTCGCCGGACAATTCTGGAGCACAGCCTTCCACTGATGGTTCCAATGGAGCCGGCTCGGTGCCAGCTGGTGGTGAGGGCGCAAGCAGTCAGACCCCGCCGGGCAATTCTGGAGCACAGCCTTCCACTGATGGTTCCAATGGAGCCGGCTCGGTGCCAGCTGGTGGTGAGGGTGCAAGCAGTCAGACCTTGCCGGGCAATTCTGGAGCACAGCCTTCCACTGATGGTTCCAATGGAGCCGGCTCGGTGCCAGCTCATGGTGAGGGCGCAAGCAGTCAGACCCCGCCGGGCAATTCTGGAGCACAGCCTTCCACTGATGGTTCCCATGGAGCAGGCTTGGTCAGTTCTGGAGCACAGACCTCACCGGGCAGTTCTGGAGCACAGACCTCACTGGACAGTTCTGGAGCACAGCTTTTCACTGATGCTTCCCAAGGAACGGCCTCGGTGCCGGTCGGTGAGGGCACGAGCATTCAAACCCCGTCGGGCAATTCTGGAGCACAGTCTTTCACTGATGGTTCGCATGGAACGGGCTCGGTGCCAGCCAGCGGTGAGGGTGCAAGCATTCAGACGCAGCCGGGAAGTTCTGGAGCACAGCCTTTTGCAGCGCGGTTGGTGAAACCTTCCACTGATGGTTCCCTGGGGCTGGCTCCCATTGCCATGCCGATGGCCCCTGTTCCGGCTACAGAGAAGACACCCTTTGAGTATGATGTGCCACTAGCTGTGTTTTCCGATCCTGACGGAGGCCCTCTCACCTTGAGTGCGTTCTTGGCAGACGGGAAGCCTTTGCCCAGTTGGCTCAGATTTGATCCAAAGAAGCGGTCCTTTTCCGGCACACCACCAAATCAAGACCAGCTGCAAATTATGTTGAAGGCTACAGACCCGCAGGGCTTGTCAGCGGTGACCAGCTTCACTCTGCAAGTTTCTCCTGGATTAGTTCCAGCAGAGGGAACCTCAATTTATTCACCTGATGGTATTCATGAAGCAGGCTCGGTGCCAGACAGTGGTGACGGCACAAGCATTCAGAATCCGCTGGGCAATTCTGGAGCACAGCCTTCTACTGATGGCTCCCATGGAGCAGGCTCGGTGCCAGCTGGTGGTGAGGGCGCAAGCAGTCAGACCTCGCCGGACAATTCTGGAGCACAGCCTTCCACTGATGGTTCCAATGGAGCCGGCTCGGTGCCAGCTGGTGGTGAGGGCGCAAGCAGTCAGACCCCGCCGGGGAATTCTGGAGCACAGCCTTCCACTGATGGTTCCAATGGAGCCGGCTCGGTGCCAGCTGGTGGTGAGGGCGCAAGCAGTCAGACCTTGCCGGGCAATTCTGGAGCACAGCCTTCCACTGATGGTTCCAATGGAGCCGGCTCGGTGCCAGCTGGTGGTGAGGGCGCAAGCAGTCAGACCCCGCCGGGCAATTCTGGAGCACAGCCTTCCACTGATGGTTCCAATGGAGCCGGCTCGGTGCCAGCTGGTGGTGAGGGCGCAAGCAGTCAGACCTCGCCGGGGAATTCTGGAGCACAGCCTTCCACTGATGGTTCCATTGGAGCCGGCTCGGTGCCAGCTGGTGGTGAGGGCGCAAGCAGTGAGACCCGGCCGGGCAATTCTGGAGCACAGCCTTCCACTGATGGTTCCAATGGAGCCGGCTCGGTGCCAGCTGGTGGTGAGGGCGCAAGCAGTCAGACCTCGCCGGACAATTCTGGAGCACAGCCTTCCACTGATGGTTCCATTGGAGCCGGCTCGGTGCCAGCTGGTGGTGAGGGCGCAAGCAGTGAGACCTCGCCGGGCATTTCTGGAGCGCAGCCTTCCACTGATGGTTTGCATGGAACGGGCTCGGTGCCAGCCAGTGGTGAGGCTACAAGCATTCAGACGCAGCCGGGCAGTTCTGGAGCACAGCCTATTGCAGCGCGGTTGGTGAAGCCTTTCACTGATGGTTCCCTGGGGCTGGCTCCCATTGCCATGCCGATGGCCCCTGTTCCGGCTACAGAGAAGACACCCTTTGAGTATGATGTGCCACTAGCTGTGTTTTCCGATCCTGACGGAGGCCCTCTCACCTTGAGTGCGTTCTTGGCAGATGGGAAGCCTCTGCCCAGTTGGCTCAGCTTTGATTCCAAGCAGTGGTCATTTTCGGGCACACCACCAAAGCAAGATCAGCTGCATATTTTTGTCAAGGCTTTAGACCCGCAAGGTTTGTCAGCTGTGACAAGCTTTATTTTGCAGGTATCACCTGGCGCATTCCACACTGAGGGACCCTTAGTTCATCCAGGAAGTTCTGCAACCCAAACTGATCCTTCCGAGACACAGTTGCTGACTGATGGTTCGCATGGAATGGGCTCGGTGCCAGCCAGTGGTGAGGGTGCAAGCATTCAGACGCAGCCGGGCAGTTCTGGAGCACAGCCTTTTGCAGCGCGGTTGGTGAAACCTTCCACTGATGGTTTCCTGGGGCTGGCTCCCATTGCCATGCCGATGGCCCCTGTTCCGGCTACAGTGAAGACACCCTTTGAGTATGATGTGCCACTAGCTGTGTTTTCCGATCCTGACGGAGGCCCTCTCACCTTGAGTGCATTCTTGGCAGATGGGAAGCCTCTGCCCAGTTGGCTCAGCTTTGATTCCAAGCAGTGGTCATTTTCGGGCACACCACCAAAGCAAGATCAGCTGCATATTTTTGTCAAGGCTTTAGACCCGCAAGGCTTGTCAGCTGTGACTGGCTTCACGTTGCAGATTTCATTAGGTGAATTCCCAGCAGAGGGGCCCTTAATTCATCCAGGAAGTGCTGCAACCCAAACTAATCCTTCTGCAGCGCAGTTGGTGACTGATGGTTTGCATGGAGCAGGCTCAGTGCTAGCTAGTGGTGACGGCGCAAGCATTCAGACCCAGCCAGGTAGTTCTGGAGCACAACCCTCCATAGATGGTTCGCATGAAGCCGGCTCGGTGCCAGCTGGGGGTGTGGGCGCAAGCTTTCAGACCCAGCCGGGCAGTTCTGGAGTAAAGCCTTCCACTGATGGTTCCCGTGGAGCAGGCTCGGTGCCAGCTGGTGGTGAAGGCGCAAGCATTCAGACGCAGCCGGGCAGTTCTGGAGTACAGCCTTCCACTGATGGCTCCCATGGAGCAGGCTCGCTACCAGCCGGTGGTGAAGGCGCAAGCATTCAGACGCAGCCGGGCAGTTCTGGAGCACAGCCTTTTGCAGCGCGGTTGGTGAAGCCTTCCACTGATGGTTCCCTGGGGCTGGCTCCCATTGCCATGCCGATGGCCCCTGTTCCGGCCACAGTGAAGACACCCTTTGAGTATGATGTGCCACTAGCTGTGTTTTCCGATCCTGACGGAGGCCCTCTCACCTTGAGTGCATTCTTGGCAGATGGGAAGCCCCTGCCCAGTTGGCTCAGCTTTGATCCAAAGCAGTGGTCTTTTTCTGGCACACCACCAAAGCAAGACCAGCTGCTTGTTTTTATCAAGGCTTTAGACCCGCAAGGCTTGTCAGCTGTGACCAGCTTCACGTTGCAGGTTTCACCAGGTGAAGTCCCAGCAGAGGGGCACTTAATTCATCCAGGAATTCCTGCAACCCAAACTAATCCTTCTGCAGCGCAGTTGGTGACTGATGGTTTGCATGGAGCAGGCTCAGTGCTAGCTAGTGGTGACGGCGCAAGCATTCAGACCCAGCCGGGTAGTTCTGGAGCACAACCCTCCATAGATGGTTCGCATGAAGCCGGCTCGGTGCCAGCTGGGGGTGTGGGCGCAAGCTTTCAGACCCAGCCGGGCAGTTCTGGAGTACAGCCTTCCACTGATGGCTCCCATGGAGCAGGCTCGGTGCCAGCTGGTGGTGAAGGCGCAAGCATTCAGACGCAGCCGGGCAGTTCTGGAGCACTGCCTTCCACTGATGGTTCCCGTGGAGCAGGTTCGCTGCCAGCTGGTGGTGAAGGCGCAAGCATTCAGACGCAGCCGGGCAGTTCTGGAGCACTGCCTTCCACTGATGGTTCCCGTGGAGCAGGCTCGGTGCCAGCTGGTGGTGAAGGCGCAAGCATTCAGACGCAGCCGGGCAGTTCTGGAGCACTGCCTTCCACTGATGGTTCCCGTGGAGCAGGCTCGGTGCCAGCTGGTGGTGAAGGCGCAAGCATTCAGACGCAGCCGGGCAGTTCTGGAGTACAGGCTTCCACTGATGGTTCCCGTGAAGCAGGCTCGGTGCCAGCTGGTGGTGAGGGTGCAAGCATTCAGACGCAGCCGGGAAGTTCTGGAGCACAGCCTTTTGCAGCGCGGTTGGTGAAGCCTTCCACTGATGGTTCCCTGGGGCTGGCTCCCATTGCCATGCCGATGGCCCCTGTTCCGGCTACAGTGAAGACACCCTTTGAGTATGATGTGCCACTAGCTGTGTTTTCCGATCCTGACGGAGGCCCTCTCACCTTGAGTGCATTCTTGGCAGATGGGAAGCCCCTGCCCAGTTGGCTCAGCTTTGATCCAAAGCAGTGGTCTTTTTCTGGCACACCACCAAAGCAAGACCAGCTGCTTGTTTTTATCAAGGCTTTAGACCCGCAAGGCTTGTCAGCTGTGACCAGCTTCACGTTGCAGGTTTCACCAGGTGAAGTCCCAGCAGAGGGGCACTTAATTCATCCAGGAATTCCTGCAACCCAAACTAATCCTTCTGCAGCGCAGTTGGTGACTGATGGTTTGCATGGAGCAGGCTCAGTGCTAGCTAGTGGTGACGGCGCAAGCATTCAGACCCAGCCGGGTAGTTCTGGAGCACAACCCTCCATAGATGGTTCGCATGAAGCCGGCTCGGTGCCAGCTGGGGGTGTGGGCGCAAGCTTTCAGACCCAGCCGGGCAGTTCTGGAGTACAGCCTTCCACTGATGGCTCCCATGGAGCAGGCTCGGTGCCAGCTGGTGGTGAAGGCGCAAGCATTCAGACGCAGCCGGGCAGTTCTGGAGCACTGCCTTCCACTGATGGTTCCCGTGGAGCAGGCTCGGTGCCAGCTGGTGGTGAAGGCGCAAGCATTCAGACGCAGCCGGGCAGTTCTGGAGCACTGCCTTCCACTGATGGTTCCCGTGGAGCAGGCTCGGTGCCAGCTGGTGGTGAAGGCGCAAGCATTCAGACCCCGCCGGGCAATTCTGGAGCACAGCCTTCCACTGATGGTTCCAATGGAGCCGGCTCGGTGCCAGCTGGTGGTGAGGGCGCAAGCAGTCAGACCTCGCCGGGGAATTCTGGAGCACAGCCTTCCACTGATGGTTCCATTGGAGCCGGCTCGGTGCCAGCTGGTGGTGAGGGCGCAAGCAGTGAGACCTCGCCGGGCATTTCTGGAGCGCAGCCTTCCACTGATGGTTTGCATGGAACGGGCTCGGTGCCAGCCAGTGGTGAGGCTGCAAGCATTCAGACGCAGCCGGGCAGTTCTGGAGCACAGCCTTTTGCAGCGCGGTTGGTGAAACCTTCCACTGATGGTTCCCTGGGGCTGGCTCCCATTGCCATGCCGATGGCCCCTGTTCCGGCTACAGAGAAGACACCCTTTGAGTATGATGTGCCACTAGCTGTGTTTTCCGATCCTGACGGAGGCCCTCTCACCTTGAGTGCATTCTTGGCAGATGGGAAGCCCCTGCCCAGTTGGCTCAGCTTTGATCCAAAGCAGTGGTCTTTTTCTGGCACACCACCAAAGCAAGACCAGCTGCTTGTTTTTATCAAGGCTTTAGACCCGCAAGGCTTGTCAGCTGTGACCAGCTTCACGTTGCAGGTTTCACCAGGTGAAGTCCCAGCAGAGGGGCCCTTAATTCATCCAGGAATTCCTGCAACCCAAACTAATCCTTCTGCAGCGCAGTTGGTGACTGACGGTTTGCATGGAGCAGGCTCAGTGCTAGCTAGTGGTGACGGTAGTTCTGGAGCACAACCCTCCATAGATGGTTCGCATGAAGCCGGCTTGGTGCCAGCTGGTGGTGACGGCGCAAGCATTCAGACGCAGCCGGGCAGTTCTGGAGTACAGTCTTCCACTGATGGCTCCCATGGAGCAGGCTCGCTACCAGCCGGTGGTGAAGGCGCAAGCATTCAGACGCAGCCGGGAAGTTCTGGAGCACAGCCTTTTGCAGCGCGGTTGGTGAAACCTTCCACTGATGGTTCCCTGGGGCTGGCTCCCATTGCCATGCCGATGGCCCCTGTTCCGGCTACAGAGAAGACACCCTTTGAGTATGATGTGCCACTAGCTGTGTTTTCCGATCCTGACGGAGGCCCTCTCACCTTGAGTGCATTCTTGGCAGATGGGAAGCCCCTGCCCAGTTGGCTCAGCTTTGATCCAAAGCAGTGGTCTTTTTCTGGCACACCACCAAAGCAAGACCAGCTGCTTGTTTTTATCAAGGCTTTAGACCCGCAAGGCTTGTCAGCTGTGACCAGCTTCACGTTGCAGGTTTCACCAGGTGAAGTCCCAGCAGAGGGGCCCTTAATTCATCCAGGAAGTCCTACAATCCCATCAGTACAGATGCAGCCATTTGCAGCGCCGGTGAAGCCTTCTGGTGACAGTTTGCACCCTTCGGGCCCCGTTGCAGAAGGCTTCTCGCCGGATTTCGACCTTGATCTCAAGCCGGATTTCCACATCCATCCTGGGAAGCCGTTTAAATACAGACTTCCTGAGGCGTCGATTGCGAAATTCGGAGGTGGGCCGATCAGAGCCTCTCTGCCAGATGGATCGCCTTTGCCGAGTTGGCTTCACTTCGACCCAGCCTTCCATTCGTTTTCGGGCACGCCGCCCCGATCTGCGCACTTCCAGGGCACTGTGCTCCTAAAGGGTGTCAACCCGCAGGCAGGGCCGCGAGCAATGGAATTCTTTTTTGGGCTCATTTCAAGAAAAGGGCAGCCGCCTATTTCCGGGGTTGTCAGTTGCATGCACTACATTCAGGGGATCGCGCTTGAGCGTGTGCTTCAACCGCTTGTCGGAAGATGTTTAGATGGTATTTGGACCCGCAAAGTCTTTAAATACTTCTACCGTGAACCAGGGCGTTTCCCTGCAACAATAGTGTATCAGCCATGTTTTGGGCTTCCTTTCACAAGAAACCAAACAACAACAGGCTCTTGCGGCGGTCTTTTCTTCCTTCTCACGCACAAATCCAGGTGTCTCTTCCGCTGCGCTGGGCATTTGCAAAAGGCTCGCCAGATTTCGACCTGGATTTCAAGCCGGACTTCAAGCCGGATTTCCACATCCACCCGGGGAAGCCGTTTAAATACCGACTTCCTGAGGCGTCGATCGCGAAATTCGGAGGTGGGCCGATCAGAGCCTCGCTGCCAGATGGATCGCCTTTGCCGAGTTGGCTTCACTTTGACAAAACCTTCCATTCGTTTTCGGGCACGCCGCCCCGATCTGCGCACTTCCAGGGTTCTCTGCTGCTAAAGGGTATGAACCGGCAGGCGGGGTCGCGAAAATTGGTGTCCTTTTTGGAAGGCCAAAAAGGATTGTTTTGAAGCAAAGGGCAACCGCCCATTTCCGGGTCGGAGACAAAGCAAAGAGATCAAAAGAGTTGTTTGTTTCATGCAAATTCAGGCAATCGCTCCTGAGCTGAAGATGTTTGAACCCGCAGATTCTCTAAACCACCTTCTTTGGGTTTTGCTTCTACCGTGGAGCAGGGAAGTTTCCCTGCAACAATGGTGTTTGAAACATTTATTAGGCTTCCGTTCAGAGGAAAGACCGAACAACATTAGGGTCTTTGGGCGGCTTTTCCCCACCTTTGGGTGCAATAATCCACCAAACCTGGCGAGGGCTCGGTGTCTCTTCCGCTGCGCTGGGCATTTGCAAAAGGCTCGCCAGATTTCGACCTGGATTTCAAGCCGGACTTCAAGCCGGATTTCCACATCCACCCGGGGAAGCCGTTTAAATACCGACTTCCTGAGGCGTCGATCGCGAAATTCGGAGGTGGGCTGATCAGAGCCTCGCTGCCAGATGGATCGCCTTTGCCGAGTTGGCTTCACTTTGACAAAACCTTCCATTCGTTTTCGGGCACGCCGCCCCGATCTGCGCACTTCCAGGGTTCTCTGCTGCTAAAGGGTATGAACCGGCAGGCGGGGTCGCGAAAATTGGTGTCCTTTTTGGAAGGCCAAAAAGGATTGTTTTGAAGCAAAGGGCAACCGCCCATTTCCGGGTCGGAGACAAAGCAAAGAGATCAAAAGAGTTGTTTGTTTCATGCAAATTCAGGCAATCGCTCCTGAGCTGAAGATGTTTGAACCCGCAGATTCTCTAAACCACCTCCTTTGGGTTTTGCTTCTACCGTGGAGCAGGGAAGTTTCCCTGCAACAATATGGTGTTTGAAACATTTATTAGGCTTCCGTTCACAGGAAAGACCGAACAACATTAGGGTCTTTGGGCGGCTTTTCCCCACCTTTGGGTGCAATAATCCACCAAACCTGGCGAGGGCTCGGTGTCTCTTCCGCTGCGCTGGGCATTTGCAAAAGGCTCGCCAGATTTCGACCTGGATTTCAAGCCGGACTTCAAGCCGGATTTCCACATCCACCCGGGGAAGCCGTTTAAATACCGACTTCCTGAGGCGTCGATCGCGAAATTCGGAGGTGGGCCGATCAGAGCCTCGCTGCCAGATGGATCGCCTTTGCCGAGTTGGCTTCACTTTGACAAAACCTTCCATTCGTTTTCGGGCACGCCGCCCCGATCTGCGCACTTCCAGGGTTCTCTGCTGCTAAAGGGTATGAACCGGCAGGCGGGGTCGCGAAAATTGGTGTCCTTTTTGGAAGGCCAAAAAGGATTGTTTTGAAGCAAAGGGCAACCGCCCATTTCCGGGTCGGAGACAAAGCAAAGAGATCAAAAGAGTTGTTTGTTTCATGCAAATTCAGGCAATCGCTCCTGAGCTGAAGATGTTTGAACCCGCAGATTCTCTAAACCACCTCCTTTGGGTTTTGCTTCTATCGTGGAGCAGGGAAGTTTCCCTGCAACAATATGGTGTTTGAAACATTTATTAGGCTTCCGTTCACAGGAAAGACCGAACAACATTAGGGTCTTTGGGCGGCTTTTCCCCACCTTTGGGTGCAATAATCCACCAAACCTGGCGAGGGCTCGGTGTCTCTTCCGCTGCGCTGGGCATTTGCAAAAGGCTCGCCAGATTTCGACCTGGATTTCAAGCCGGACTTCAAGCCGGATTTCCACATCCACCCGGGGAAGCCGTTTAAATACCGACTTCCTGAGGCGTCGATCGCGAAATTCGGAGGTGGGCCGATCAGAGCCTCGCTGCCAGATGGATCGCCTTTGCCGAGTTGGCTTCACTTTGACAAAACCTTCCATTCGTTTTCGGGCACGCCGCCCCGATCTGCGCACTTCCAGGGTTCTCTGCTGCTAAAGGGTATGAACCGGCAGGCGGGGTCGCGAAAATTGGTGTCCTTTTTGGAAGGCAAAAAAGGATTGTTTTGAAGCAAAGGGCAACCGCCCATTCCAGAATTCCCGCATTCAGAGACAAGGTAAGCAGACGATGAAAGAAAGAAGCTGTTGGTTGCGTGCAGTAAATTGGGGGATGGCTCTTCAGCGGAAGATCGGTTTTGCTTCTGCTGTGGACCAGAGTGTTTCCCTGCAACAATGGTGTTTGAAACATTTATTAACCAGGCTCCCGCCTGCTGCCGCCGACCCTCGGCGCATTAAGGGAAAAGTCACAAGGACCGGTCCTGAAACACGTCCGCAAACCCAGGGACCACTTATAAGATCCTCTACGACCACAAACAAGGATTAACGGAAAAGTCAGAAATAGGGCAGCTAGTCCGTTAATTACCGCTTGGGCCGGCTTGCGCCCAAGTCACTTCGAGTTGGCCCGGGAGCAGTCGCCTCTCCCGGGGTCGCCCTGAAACTGGCCCTCCCGAAGTTGACCAGAAACAAGGATTAACGGAAAAGTCAGAAATAGGGCAGCTAGTCCGTTAATTACCGCTTGGGCCGGCTTGCGCCCAAGTCACTTCGAGTTGGCCGGGAGCAGTCGCCTCTCCCGGGGTCGCCCTGAAACTGGCCCTCCCGAAGTTGCCCTGGACCGGTCGCCGGCAGGGACCGGGACTTGGGACCCTGTCCAGGCTGGTCCCAGTCTGGCGCGGTTTGACTTGACGTATTGGACTCTCTTGCAGAATAGATGGGATCCTCTACTACCACAAGGACGTCAACAACCGCACGGGCCGGCTTGGTCGCAGGGTCATGGGTGCCAGTCCGGAAAGGTGTCTGGAGCGGTTTGAGGCAGCACAGCATATTGAATTGGGACCCAAGACCAGCGGTCACACCAGGACTCGATCCCGGACCGGCTTCCCAGACCGGTCCCAGGACTGGTCCTGGGACCGGTCCCAGGACCAGTCCCAGGACCGGTCCTGGGACCAGTCCCAGGACCAAACCGCTGGTCCTAGGACCGGTCCCAATTCCAATCACTTCCAGTTGCATCCCACGCCGGTCCCCTCTGCAGGAGGCTGGGACGGGAGGCAGAGGGTCGGCGGATTAGGCTTCCGTTCACAGGAAAGACCGAACAACATTAGGGTCTTTGGGCGGCTTTTCCCCACCTTTGGGTGCAATAATCCACCAAACCTGGCGAGGGCTCGGTGTCTCTTCCGCTGCGCTGGGCATTTGCAAAAGGCTCGCCAGATTTCGACCTGGATTTCAAGCCGGACTTCAAGCCGGATTTCCACATCCACCCGGGGAAGCCGTTTAAATACCGACTTCCTGAGGCGTCGATCGCGAAATTCGGAGGTGGGCCGATCAGAGCCTCGCTGCCAGATGGATCGCCTTTGCCGAGTTGGCTTCACTTTGACAAAACCTTCCATTCGTTTTCGGGCACGCCGCCCCGATCTGCGCACTTCCAGGGTTCTCTGCTGCTAAAGGGTATGAACCGGCAGGCGGGGTCGCGAAAATTGGTGTCCTTTTTGGAAGGCCAAAAAGGATTGTTTTGAAGCAAAGGGCAACCGCCCATTTCCGGGTCGGAGACAAAGCAAAGAGATCAAAAGAGTTGTTTGTTTCATGCAAATTCAGGCAATCGCTCCTGAGCTGAAGATGTTTGAACCCGCAGATTCTCTAAACCACTTTTCCCCACCTTTGGGTGCAATAATCCACCAAACCTGGCGAGGGCTCGGTGTCCCTGCCACTGCGCTGGGCCATAGCTACCGGAGCGCTACCCATTGCAAGAGGCTTTTCACCGGAATTCAGCATCCACCCAGGGAAGCCGTTTACCTACAGGCTTCCTAAGGCGTTGATCACGCAATTGGGAGGTGGAGACCTAAGTTTCAGTGCCTTTCTGCCAGATGGATCGCCTTTGCCGAGTTGGCTTCGCTACGACCCAGCAAGCCATTCGTTACTGGGCACGCCGCCCCGGTCTGTGCCCTTTGAGGGTACCGTGCTCCTAAAGGCTATCAACCGGCAGGCGGGGCCGCGAATAGTGTGTGTGTGTGTGTGTGTGTGTGTGTGTGTGTGTGTGTTTTCTTCCGGAGGGTAACTTGTTTTGAGTTGTTTTGCAGCAGGTAAGCGCCCTTTTGAGGGGTTCCCCCATTCAAACACATCACATAAAAAAGGAGTTGTCGGTTGCATACACTACATTCAGGGGATCGCTCTTGTGCTTCAACCTTTCAAGACACTCCCGGGTTTGGGCGGCTTCCGGCTTTCCGGCTTTCCATGGCGCCGAAACGTGCTCCGAACCGCGAACCGGGCGAGGGCTCGTTGTCTTTGCCGCTGCGCTGGGTCAGCGAGCCGGTGCTGCCGGGCCTGGCCGATGCCGTGGCGGTGGTGGGGCGCCGCTTCGAGTTGCAGCTGCCCAGCTGGGCCACAGCCGGCGCCCGCCGGAGCCTCAAACGGGGGACCCAGGCAGGTGACCGGGGCTGTTGTTTTTTGGGGGATAGGGGTATAGGGAGCCCTGGTCTCTTTCTTGAGCTCTTTTTGGTGTTGAGCTCCCCCCCCACGGCGCTGTAGCATGCTGCTTGCTCCACCTCAAGGCAGCCGCAACAGACGCCCACGCAAAACGGTGCGCAAATCAGCAGTTCTGGACCACTTGACAAGTTTGCACACCACTGAAAGGCCAGGCAGCCAAAGGCTGCACCGGAGCCGAAAGCTCCCAACCCGGCTGAGTCAGCTCTGAGGACCATATGCTACGCTGGCGGGGGGCCAGCCTTTGCCCAGCTGGCTGCACTTCAACGCGGATGACCTGCGCTTCCACGGGACCGCTCCAGACCAGGCGCAGTCAGCGGGCTTGGCCTAGACTCGACCCAGACACCGGTAGCCTTCAAAGTTTTTCAGGTGAAGGGGGTCTAATGAAACCGCAGGAGTCGCTGCACATCCACCTGGGCCCGGTGGGCAACGGCTTCCGCCTGCGTGTGGTGGGGGGCACCTTGGACGCCAAGGCCGCGGCCCTGGCGGCGCGGCCCCTGGAGTTGGCGCGCCCCGAGTTCCCGGCGAGCCGCTACTGCGCGGAGGCGGACGTGATCTACGAGCCCATGGACCCGCACCCCCAGGCGGCAAACTCCCCAAGCTCCCTGTGCGGGTTGAAAGCCGAGAGCTTTTCTGGATGGGAAGGTATGGAATAAGAACTTTCTATTTTCAAATTGGCCGTTCAGGTCACCTCGGACCTGGTGGAGTGTCAGCTGCTCTGCCGGCGCACCAAGGGTTGCGGGTACTGGACCTTCTTCTACCCCCTGAAGACTTGCCACTTCAGCGCCTTCCAGACCTCGAAGCGGACGTACCGCCTCGGCTTCCAGGGTGGGCCCGCAGTGTGCGGAGAGATCCAGGGCCTGGGCTCGGCGTCGCTGGAGGCGGTCCCGGACGCCTTTTCTCGGGCAACGCGTTCCAAGAAACATCCACAACTTCCACGAAAAACTGATGGTATTTCCACGTACGCAAAGCCAGGTTTCATTTCTATGGGCAAACCCACTCGTCTTCCAGCCTGCCCGTAGGACGGGCTTCTGGCACAGAAGTGCCTGGTGCAGCACACGTCCTTCTCACCGCTCTATGGTCAAGGTCGGCCAGAGTCGCAGCTGGGAGCAAAGTTTGAGCAGATTTCATTTGATCCAGAGAAACCACTCATCAAGTCGATTGGGATCTCCAAGAACACTTTTGCCCACACCCTACGGTTTTTGCACAACTGCCAACCACCCAAATCCCTCTCAGCTCAGATTCACCGAGCGTCTTGGTTGCAGAGGTATGAGACCAGCGCGGCGGAGTGCCAGAAACAGTGCCAGAAGACATCCTGGTGTGCCACCTTTGTTTACGACAGCCTCTCCAAGGGCTGCAACCTCCAGGCTCTGACAAAAAGATCGGTGATATAGATGACACACGCCAAACAAAAAGAGAGGTGAGCTGGGCAGCTGATCGTCAGGCTAATGTTTGATACAGTCAGACAATGGAAGCGCTCATGTTTTTGGCTTGTGTACAGGGACTTCTTTGTAACTTGGTCCGGCTGCGCTTGCACAGGAGTGGAATGCTGTGGCCATACCTGCTGCGGAG